AAAAAAAAGGCAAGTGGGCCATGGGAAATTATAAGGTGAACTGAAACAGGCAGGTCTCACCCAAAGTCATTTAAGCTCAATTTCTTAAAAAGTAATCAATGAATGCCAAGCAAAACAGAATCTCTGAGCCAAATTCAGCTTGTAGACTGCTAGTCTGACTTTTACATTAAACAACAGCTATGTTAGTGTTGAGCTGTAGTGATAGAGTTATAGACTCAGGAGCTAGACTATTTGGATCAAATCTTACCAGCTGTGTGAACTTCAGCAAGTGGCTTCATGTCCTAAGCCTCAGTTTACTCAATTATACTATCAGGGAAGGAACTGCACTTGCTCATAGGTAGGGGTGACCACATGCCCAGGCGGGCCTAGGACAGTCCTGGCATATAGAGCATTTTTATAATGATTAGAATAATTAAAAGCATAATTATTAACAGTGTCCCTTTCACTGTCAAAATTGTCCGACATATACGGTCATGAGAGGGTTAAAGAGATAATCATCTATGTAAAGTACTGACCATAGTGCCTAGAAGATGCACCCAAAATAATTGACAACAACTTCATGTAGGGCTAGCTCTGTGCAGAATGAGGAGAGCAGTTTGTCTCAGAGTTATCCCAGGCCCCAGCTCATGCCACCCAGATTCCTTCACATTGGCATCTCACATGTGCCTGGACCTTTCTCAGTGACCTCAAAAGGCTGTCTCTTGATCCACTTCAGGAATTCCCTTCAGGGCTTTGCAAGCTGATCTCCCAGACAGACTAGTCCAAGCCTTGCCAAGTCCCCAGGAGATTTCTGAACTGCCCTTCCTAGGTAAATTGAGATGAAAAGGGATTAATGGGGATTTCAGGCTGGTGGAAGGAGATGCTTTTGGGTAACTTTCGGTATTCCTTCAGACAATATTTCACTAACAGCTCCTTGTGAACTTGAGGCCTACCTTGATTTCTTCAACCTATTGTGTATATATATATACCTAAATCTGAATTTATAGCAACCATAAAATCAATGAGTGTCCAGTGCCCTCCAGCCAAATGCTATTCTGAAACATAGATCATGGCATTCATTCAAGCTGTCCTCATTTATCATGAAAATTAACAGAAGACTAAGAATTTTTACTAAAATACAAACAACACTTCCTTAAGTTTATTTCCTAAACTGCTCCAGCAATCTGTTGCTGCACAACAAACTACCCCCAAAATTTACTGGAGTAAAACAACTATGTACCATTACCTCTCCTGGGGCTGGGGGTTGACAGGCTCATCTGGGTGGTTCTTACCTGGGGTGCCTCATTTGGTTACAGACAGAGCACGGCTGGAACTTGAGCCATTGGAAGGTGCATTAGTCTGTTTGGCCTTGCTATAAAGGAATACCTGAGACTGGAGAATTTATACATAAAAGAGATTTCATTTGGCTTTCAGTTCTGAAGGCTGTACAAGCATGGTGCCAGAATCAGCTGGGCTTCTGATGAGGGCTCAGGAAGCTTTTACTCACAGTGGAAGGGAAGGGGAGCCAGCATGTCACATGGCAAGAGAGAGAACAAGAAAAGAGGAGGAGGTGCCAGTTTCCTTTAAATAATCGGCTCTCATGTGAACTGACAGAGTAGGAATGCATTCATCACCAAGGGATTGGTGCTAAGCCATTCATGAGGGATCCATCCCCATGACCCAACACCTCCCACATTCAGCCTTGGGGATCACATTTCAACATGAGATTTTGAGGAGACAAATATCCAAACCATATCAGAAAGTTTCTCCACTCGCATGTCTCATGTGTCGGCTGGAAAAGCTGGGGACTGCTTAAGCATCTCTGTCCTCAAACAGCCTCTCCACATGGCTAGACTGGGCTTCCTATGCAGTACGGCAGTCTCAGAGGACGTGGGATGTTTATGTGGTCCGTGGATTTCCCCAAGAGGGAATATTCCAGGAGACCCAACAGAAGCTGCAAGGCTTCGTAAGATTTGGTGGTTAGTCTATGTCAGTTCTACCATATTCTATTGGTCAAGAGTAAGTCACAAGCCAGCCTAGATTCATTAAGGTAGTGGAATAAGTTCCACCTCTCAATGAAGAATGGCTTTCAGGGACAGAAGGAACTAAACAGTATTCATCTTAGAGATAAACTACCATACCTTCCACCCATCTCTTTCCACCTTGTTATGAATGGAATTCCTAATGAATTCAAAATAACTAGAAGAGAGGATTTTGAATGCTCTCACCACAAAGAAATGATAAATGTTTGGGGTAATGGATATACTAAATAGCATGACTGGATCATTGCATAGGGTATGCACGTATTGAAACATCACCCTGTATACCATAAACATGTACAGTTATTATGTGTCAAATTTTAAAAAGGTAATGAAATGGAGGTCTAAGAAAGCAACATCTGACCAAAATTTCCTGAATGATCAGTCTTATATTTTTTAAAAGTGTTATGATATCAATAATATCTGTTCATTTTTAAACTAGCAAATAGAAATAAGTAAACATAGAAATAAATTATTTCCATGACTCAGAGAAAATCATTCCCAGGTAGGTATAGGCAAAATTAACATTTACCAGATTAGAAAGTATGCAGACATGATTTTCCAGCTCTTCCCCTTAAATACCAACTCAGTGCAGGAAAGCACTCAATGCGTCGCAACTTAGTGGAACAGGCAAAGAGCCAGCCCCCAGATGTCAGGACAAATATAGGGGCTTAGCAATTGAATGGGTTGGAGGAGACAAATGATTTGAGCAGATGCCACGTTGAAGTTGTGAGAGGGAACATCTGCTGTCCCATTTGCTAAGGTATTTGGTAATCAGGAGGATGGTGTAAATGCAGAAACGGAGCAACCTGTATTGATATGCAGAGCATGAACACTGATGTCAATGTTTTGTAGCTAATTAGACCGCGAGTGTTACATTGTCTCTAATTTTACAGAATGAAAGCAGAATGTTCCTCTCCATCAGAGTTTACCGGCAATTTAGTGTGGCCTCATTCCCATTCCTCTGACAACATAATGAGCAGCAATGAACCACACAGTAACCAAGCGTCAGTTCCTTACATTATACAGCCCAAATGTCCAGGATTCATTAGTTTTAAATGTCATAATAAAGTCACATTTCTTTGTGATTCAAAAGTGATGGTGCCTCGGGTTCCCACTGACTCAGCCCAAGGAAGTAAGTCTATTTCTTCTACCAGCTTCCTCTTCACCAGCATTTCTGGGACTCCCAAGGAATCATTTCGCTTGTCAGCATGCTGTTTTCATAACTGAATGCAGCCTCAGCCACTAGGGAGGCTCTGGCTGTTGGTAGTGGCTCCCTGGGGTCCCTGGACCTTCCTCTTTCCAGCTGCTGTTTTCTGCTATGCCGTTCTGCCCCACAAAATGGACTCCTCTGGCTGCCCCTCATTGAATGCAGAAACCAAGCCATAATGTTTAAAAGGGGTTTTATGGGGGTGAGGGGGTGTAATAGAGAGGAAGTACCACAAAAGAGGAAAAGCTGCAGAGCAGGTCAGTTCTCTGTAGTGCACAGGCAGTTTCCCTTGCAGGCCTCCCGTTGGCCTGATCCTCTACACACATCAAGTAGATAGTAAACTCAATACCTGTTCTATTCAGCATCAGGACCTCAACCTCCACAAGAGCGCAAGAGAGGTGAACTCCCGCACCCCACCCTATTCCAGCCTGAGCCTTGCCTCCCGAACCCTTTTCTGGTCCCAGGTCCTACTGTTTTCCAAAGCTGATAGACAATGGCAATGTCCTTCAACTGGACATTATTTCCAGGAATCCTACTGAGTCTTCCGTAACATTGCTGTGAGATCCAGGTTTTGGTGTGACCAAACCCAGTGTGACCCATTGCAGTTCTTCTCAGCCTCTTCTCCAGCATGACCCACCTTACAGCTGTCTCAGCTCCTGCCTCTCATGAGCAGCAGCTTTAATATTCACACACACACACACCAGACACACACACACACCACCACCCCACACACACACA